TTTAAAAGTCAGATGGTACCACTTGCAACAAAAACCCACTCACATCAGTTCTTACCCATCTTCTTCTGGAGTCACTCTTGGTCTAATTACTCGAGCTGCTGTGTTGCACATTTCCATTCAGACTTCTGAGCGTTGTGCTCTATTAGCTTTCTCTTGTAGCAAAATACCACAAACACAGTGTCTTAAAGCTGGCAATGAAATCTGAATCTCAAGAGATGATGGCCAAAATACTGGCAGAGCTATTCTGAGGCCCCAGGGAGAATGCTTCCCATCTCCTCTGTGAGGAGAGACTGCTTTGCAGTCTTCTCTATTGCTGTCTCCGCCTTTGAGATATTTGCAATCTTCTTCACTGAAGTCAAATTGCCATTTGCTTCCACCCACATCATAATGGGGTTCATCCAGGGACATTTAGGGATAATCCAAAAGAAAAAATCTCCCCATTTTAAGGGTTTGAATTTACCTAGATGTCCTTTTGCCATTTATTAGTATACACAGGCTCCAAAGGAGAACCCCTGGGCATCTGGGCGTCAGGACTCGGCTAACACACATGCTTTTTCTGAAGCTTATGGGCTCGTCAGTGTGGGTTTTACTGGCTGACTTCCTGCCCCTCCCAGCAAGCATCCTACACAGTTCTCTTCCTTCATCTTCTCAGTACAGTTATACCGCCAGCTTAAAGCTAACTCAATATTCAGTATTTTATTATCACAACTGATATTATCCATGGATGGAGCTGAAGTGGACTGTTATGTTTTTCCCTTCTTGATCAATGATATTTTTAAAATATACTTCTTACTTTTCTATCTGGTTATTACCAGCATATTTTTAAAATATATGTCTTAGTTTTCTATTTGGTTATTACCAGCATGATATTTTAAAAATATACGTCTTAGTTTTCTATTTGGTTATTACCAGCTCAACCTTAAGCTTCATCATCCTGTGTTTGCCTTAGGGATACTCTCTTCCTGCCTCCTCCCATTCCTCTCTGACTTCACTCCCTACATCTGCCACAGGCAGTGGGTCTTCCAAGCTCTTGTCTCCACATTATCCTAAGAAACCTGGCCTTGCTCATGGTCTGCCCTATTGTTTCGATGGAATGTTTCCTCATTAGCCCCTGAGAAAGGGTGCTAAGGGGAGACTAAACACTGCACCAGGAGATTGTGCGCTGTGTAGGAAACTGAGCAGAAGGGAATATCCACACAGAGAAATGCAAGTCAGCCAGATAATCTAGAACAGAGGAACATGGCAGGCCACACACCCTTCCTCTGTCATTAAACACATTTGAAGGGAAAACAGCACCCTTGAGAACGTAACTTGTAATGGAAATGGTAGTGGATGAGTCTAGAATGAAAGATCTCAGAAAGCCAATGATGTATGGGTCAACAATGAACCGATTCAAATAAGTCACCATTTTTAAAAATCTGCAGCATTAATGAGACAGGAGGAAATTGGAACTCTAGCTTCTGATAATACTGCTTAAAAATTTAAAAACTCTGTGTGTGTGGGGGGGGGTAGGTGTGTGTGTGGGTAGGTGTGTGTGTGTATGTACATGTGTGTGAGAGATGGCTGAGGTAGACAGGTGTGAGAGATGACTGAGGTAAACAGTGGAACATGTTGCCCAGTAAAGTGTGCAGTGGGATCCCCCTGGTTCTGAGCAATGATGGAAGCCTGACATGGGGAATGGCTCACTTTCTGGATTGTACCTCTTTGAAGGGTCATCTTGGTCCATGATGTCACCAGAGGCTATGTTGGTATCTGTGGTCCATGATAATAAAAAAAACTCATAAAGGTTGAGAATTGCCTCCATGGTTAGAGCAACAGCTGCTCTTCCAGAGGCCCAGGTTCAATTCCCAGAACCCACATAGCAACTAGAAACCGTCAAGAAGTCCAGTTCAAAACAATTTGGGGCCCATGCACAGACAAATATATAGGAAAAACACTAATGCATATGAAAATAAACAAACCTTAAAAATATAAACTTAAAAAAGGTTAAAAAAATTCTCATACATGTAAACTTTAAGAGTAACGTTTTACTTTCCATAAAGATGAGGAAAAAAAATCCATACTGAAAATACTTTTCACAAGTTTGGAACCCTAAAGGGAAACACACAAATCATGTGGTACAGGAGTATCTTCAGTACTTTTCCATGAGAGGGGCGAAAGGCACTCTGTGACTTAAACAAAGAAAGAGACATTCACAATGAGTAGTGAAAACAGCGGAAATTCTGCATGAACTTTCATTCAAGGTAGAGACAGGCAAAGCTCAGAGCAGCAGCCTAGCGCCTACTCAGGCTTATGTACTTATTTGTTTATGTACTGTTTTTTTTTTATTTATATGTAACGGAGTGGGGGCTCAGCTGACATAGTCTTGTATCTGCTCTATTTGCTATGTATCCCTGAGCTGATAGATATGGGGTTTACACACTCTTTGATTTGTACTGCCGTTGGAATTATTTTCTCACAACTTCAGTGGTATATCTATGAATTTACTCCATGGATATCTTGACATCTGTTGGGAAAGTATGTTAAGAGCCCCAAAGACATTCATGGGATGAGTCTATGTGCCCTGCTGGCTAATCTTCTTGGAACCATTGTCCCCACGGTCTTCCCTACATTTGTTTCCGTCTTTCTCCTAACCACTATACAAAACAGTGGGCGTCATTATGACTTTCTTCTACTTATCTAAAATAGACTTGGATTTCATTCATGGCCCTCCACCCTCCTCTTGCTGTCTCCATTCCTCACCACACTCTAAGGACTTGAGAAATACTTTTCAACAATCCTTTCAATAAGAGTGTCGTGTAACCCGCCCAACTAGCCTAAAATCCAGGATGGTGTGAGGACTTGTGATTGACTGTGTCTACATCTCAAAAACCTGGATGTGTTCCTACCAACACCTTTCTCCACCTCCTGCTCTGTTCGGGAACTTTCCACCTCCAAAGATATGGATTCAGGGTGGGGCTTCCCACTTCCAATAATTGAATCAAGAAAAATCCCACACAGGTGCCCTGGACCTTGGAAGCTGTAGTTAATTCCAGTCAGAATCAAGTTGACAACCAAGAGTAGACACCACAACCTCTCTAAATGAGAAGTTCTTGCTGCCCTCAGTTGTCTTGTTTTGTTTGTTTGTTTTTATTTTGTTTCTTCATTCTTTTTGTGAAACTTTTATTTATTTGCAATTTGTTTGGTTGGGTGCATGTTTGTATGCTTTATGGACAATTCAGACCAGACAAGCAAGGGCCTGACAAAAGAGGGTGTTCATCTTAGTTTTTTGTTTGTTTGTTTGTTTGTTTGGTTTGGTTTGATTTTTGATTTTTGAGACAGGGTTCCTCTGTATTGGTTTGAAGCCTGTCCTGGAATTAGCTCTGTAGACCAGGCTGGACTGAAAGTCTCTGAGATCTGGCTGCCTCTGACTCTCGAGTGCTGGGATTAAAGGTGTGTGCCACCAGCATTGGGCCATCCTTCCTACCATAGATAGGGGTGGTTAAGGGTCATCCTATGGGTGCTGCCACATCAGTGAGTCCTTTTATGTTATTAAAAAACATTGCCTTCTCCCACCCAACTCCATCATTTCTGCTTTTTTGTGGGTGTGTGTGTGTGTGTGTGTGTGTGTGTGTGTGTGTGTGTGTGTCCGGCATTGGTGGAGCATGCCTTTAATCCCAGCACTCGGGAGGCAGAGGCAGCCAGATCTCTGTGAGTTTGAGTCCAGTCTGGTCTACAGAGCTAGTGCCAGGGGCTCCAAAGCAATACAGAGAAACCCTGTCTCGGAAAACAAAACAAAACAAACAAACAAAAAATACCCTTTGCTCTGATGTGGGTAAGCAGAGGCAATTTCACACAACTGGCGTTTTAACTTGTTGAGTATTATTAGGTTATATTTGATATTGATTTATGCTGGGTGGGGCCGAAGGAAGGTGAGACCCTCCATTTCACGACTTAGAAGATATTCAACAAATTTGCATGTTCACACAGGCCCGAAAAAACGCTTGTGCTCTTTATTGTGTTCTCAGTCTCAGACACAGAGACACACTGCCTCCATCCCTCCCCGCTCCCTCCCCTGCACCCCTCCTCACTCCTCCCTCTCTTCCTCCTCTGCCCCCTCCTTATTCCTCCCTCCCTCCCTCTCCCTTTCCACATTCTCATAAACACTTTGTCCACACTCAGCTACTATGTCTTATCATCTTTATTGATGCATAAGTGAAGTTGGGATTGCAAGCATTGGTTTGACAAAGAGCATTTTGAAAAGCAAGACACGATGAAACTAGAGTTCTTTGTTGGAGAGCAAGGTGGACTTGACTGAGTTCTGCTAGGTTCTGCTTGTCAAGGGTGGGAAGCAAAGGCCCATGCCTGCAAGCCTGTTCCAAACTGCTTTCTTCAGGACCTGTCTTTGGTGCTTGTTTGTTTATTTGTTGTGATTTCTGAGACAGGGTTTCTCTGTGTAGGTCTGGTTGTCATGATGAGATAGACCAGGGAAAGCTACTCCAGCAGGTTAAGGCATGGCTGCGAAGAAGTCAGGAATCATCCTACACTCAGGGCTGGGGACCATCTTCTCCCACTGTGGTATCTGTCAGTTCCCAGGAGTGCAGCTTGAACTGTCCAGGAGGACTAAGCCAGGGTCAAGTCCCTCGAGTCGTGGGAACACATAAAAGGACACTGGCAGCATGGCGAAGCCAGTGCTGTCTTGGATTGGGAGAAACAGGGGACAGCCACTGACCGTGTTCTTCCAGGGAAGCCGCGATGCAGACGAGGCCCTGAGTTGGAAATTCGTCTTCTGGTTCTCTAAGGCAGCATTTTAGCTTCAGGGGTTAGATCTAGTGTTCCCACTCTTCATGAAATCTTTCTCTTCTCCCATCCACAGTGTGTAGTCAAAAAGCTCTTGTGTGCACACAGTCTCGATGCTCGGTTCCTGGATGTCTTGAGGCACACTGGGAATCAGTCCCTTAAGGTATTCAGCAAAGTCATTGTCCAAGGTGCTGTATGGTAGGGGAACAGACCTTCCTTTCCTAGAAAAGGCGCTTCCTGGCCTTGCAGGGAGAATGTGGAAGCTTCTGATGACTCTGAGGGCGCTGGGCTTGCGGACTTGTCGGAGGAGATGGAGGCAGAGGCTGCAGTGGTGAGCTGGGCAGAGGCTCCAGCATGCTCTCTCTGAGGCTCCAGTTGGACCAGGGAGCATACCTCCCTCCACTAAGAGGGGATTCCATCCAGGGCCTGTCAAACAAGGGGCTGAGCATCCCAGTGAAGGAGTCAAAGAGACCCGGGTCCATGTCAGCTGGAGCATGCGTCCATGGCACCATGAAGTCTTCGTAAGAGACCTCACCTGGCTGAGCGGCGTTTCCCGGACCTTCGATGTGTGATCCAGGTGCAGTGGCGGATCCCAGGTGCAGAAGTACTAGGTGTTCTTGGGGCATGTCCATGATAGCGGCTCCCTGCGGGGTGCAGGGCCAGACCCCAGGCTGTCCAGGCACCAGCAGGTCTTCCCGAACCAGGGTGATGGTGCATCCAGGGAGCGATACCTGCACGATCGAGGTGGGGTTGGGCTCCAGCAGCAGGTTGACGCCTTCCAGGTGGAGTTTCAGGGTGAATCCAGCGGGCAGGACCACCACCAAGTTGGGCTCCTCCCAGGTGGGCCCGCTGGGGTCTTCCAGGTCTGGCTGTGCCAGCCATTCCGGGCAGCCGGGCTCACGGAGGCAGGGGCGTTTGGCGGGGTTGAGTACATCTTGCAGCAGATAGTCCTCGGGGCTTCGGGGCCGTGGACCCAGCATGTTGGTGGCTATGGTAGTTGGGAGTAGATACAGTCTGGTGCAGAAGATGGACTTGTGCGCTTCAGTGCCTAGTTCAAGGCAGCTGTTGTCTGGCTTCTGCAAGAGACTCTGTGGACTCTCAGGCACAGGGCAGATGTGATCAGGAAGACTGGCTGATCCGGAGTGTTGGTAGGAGAACCTGAGTTCCTTCTATAAGCCTTGCTTTGGAGGAAGCCCCACCCAGGCAGGGTGGGGCCCAATGAAGGCAAGACCCTTGGGTGTCCACATCCCAAAAGCTTGGATGCATTCCCACTGACACTTTCCTCCCCCTCCTGCTCTGTTCGTGAACTTTCCACCTCCAAAGATATAGATTCAGGGTGGGGCTTCCCATTTCCAATAACTGAATCAAGAAAAATCCCACACAGGTGCCCTGGACCTCTGGTTAATAATACCCCAACCAGTAAATTCAATCTTTTTTTTCCCCTCCCCGTGATAATGTTTCTCTGTGCAAGAGTTCTGGCTGTCTTAGAACCTGCTTTTTAGACCAATCTGGTCTGGAACTCACCTGCCTCTCTGCCCTTGAGTGCTGGGATTAAAGGTGTGTGCCACCACTGGGGGGGGGGGCTCAATTTAAGCTTTTTATCCAGAAGTAATGATTTGGTTTGAAACCACTGGCAGTGTTCCAAATTCAGTTTTTTTTTCCATATGCAAAACCAATTGTCCTATCACAGTTTGTTGAAACGCTTATCTTTTGTACTGGATGCCATTATTTCCATTGTCATATGGGCTTTTATTATTTGCTGTGTGAGAATGTCTGTGGTCTTTCTTGTCTGGTGTATTGATTAAATTCCCCCCAATCTCTCCCAATTGTAAACTAGTAAGTTATATATTTATAGTTATGTGTGGCGCTTTGGCAGATAAAGACAAATTCATTGCCCAACTTACCGCCTGTCAGCATGAGAATCTTTGTGAAACTGAGGCCAGCCTGATCTACATAGAGAGACATTGTGGCAACAAAACATAAGAAAACAAAACGTTCAAATAAACGATCTCTTTTAGTAACTTACCTTTAATCCTAACTAAGGAAAACTATAACTATAACTATCTGTCTTAAACTCCCTCAAAGACCACAGAAGGATAATATATAAACTCTAGAAATGACAGAGACATCTTGCCTGGTCAGTCACCTGAAGTTCTTTTGTAATGTTCCATCTTCAGCCTATAGGCCATAGTGTGTCTGGCAAACTCCTCAGAAATGCAGGAAACTTTAAACTGTCCATCTGTATTGTCAGTTTGTCAGTCATTTTTCTCTGTGTCCTGCAGATTGTCTGGCAGACCCTTTTTTCATGAAGCAGGAACTCTGTAGCAATGTCCATCTTGTATCAGCAGTCACTTTTCTGTGGGTCCTGCATGACCAGTTTATACAGCATAAAGTCGAACAGTCCAGACAAGAGCAGTATCTTGTCCAAATGGCTAGTCTTGCTATATTGGAGGCAAACTCCATAATGTGTTTCTTTAATGTCCATCTTTCTTTCTGACTCAGGTGATGTTGCCAGGAGGAGTTACGGGCCTGTCTGTCATAAACTGCAAGGAGTGTGACCTTGCCTATTTACTGGCAGACGACAGGGTCTGGAATTTGAGGTTTTTAGGGCTTTTTAGATAGTATTTCTAAACTTTTAGCTTCCTGTGGTCATTGGAGAGTTAGGCTGTATTTTTTCATCCTTTCAGAACAATACTAAACTTTGTATGGAAAAACAAACAAACCAAGAAACATAGGGTAGCCAAAACAATCCTGTACAAATAAACAAACTTCTGGAGGCATCACCATCCCTGATCTCAAGCTCTACTATAGAGTTATAGTAATGAAAACAGCTTGGTATTAGCACAAAAACAGACAGGTGGACCAATGGAATCAAATCAAAGACCCTGATATTAATTCACACACCTATAAGCATCTAATTTTTGACAACAAAGCTAAAACTATACAATGGGGAGACAAAAGCATCTTCAACAAATGGTGCTGGCATAACTGGATGCTGACATGTAGAAGAATGCAGATAGATCCATATCTACCACCATTCACAAAACTTAAGTTGAAATGGATAAAAGACCTCAACATAAATCCAGCCACACTGAACCTCTTAGAAGATAAAGTGGGAAGTATCCTTGAACAAATTGGCACAAGAGACCACTTCCTGAACATAACACCAGTAGCACAGACACTGAGATCAACAGTTAGTAAATGGGACCTTCTGAAACTGTAAAGCTTCTGTAAGGCAAAGGACACAGTCAACAAGACAAAATGGCAGCCCACAGAATGGGAAAAGATCTTCACCAACCCCACATCTGACAGAGGACTGATCTCCAAAATATTCAAGAACTCAAGAAGCTAGACACCAAAACACCAAATAATCCAATTTTTAAAATGAGGTATAGATCTAAATAGAGAATTCTCAACAGAGGAATCTCAAATGACCCAAAGGCAGTTGAGAAAGTGCTCAACATCCTTAGCCATCAGGGAAATGCAAATCGAAACAACCCTGAGGTACCATATTACACCTGTCAGAATGGCTAAAATGAAAAAACAACATTATGCTAGAGAGGATGTGGACTAAAGGGAACACTCCTCTATTGCTGGTGGGAATGCAAACTTATACAGCTGCTTTAAAAATCAATATGGTGGTTTCTTGGAAAATTGGGAATCTATCTACCTCAAGATCCAGCAATACCACTCTTGGGCATATACCCAAAGAATACACACTCACACCACAAGGATATCTGTTCATCTATGTTCATTTATAGCAGCATTATTTGTAGTAGCCAGAACCTGGAAGCAACCTAAATGCCTCTCAGCTGAAAAAATGGATAAAGGAAATGTGGTGCATTTACACAATGGAGTACTACTCTTCCGTAAAAAAAAAAACAAAAAAAAAAAAACAAAAAAAAACAAAAAAAAAAAAAAAAAAACAAAAAACAATGGCATCTTGAAATTTTCAGGCAAAATGACGGAACTAGAAGAAACTATCCTGAGTGAGGTAACCCAGACACAGAATGACAAATATGGTATGTACTCCCTCAGAAGTGGATATTAGACATAAAGCAAAGGATAACCAGCCTATAATCCACAACCCCAGAGAAGCTAGGAAACAAGGAAGACCCTCAGAGAGACGTATGTGGAACTATACCCGCCACCCCAAGAAGGGGAAATAGACAAGAGCTCTTGAGTAAATTGGGAGCATGAGGTAGGAGAAAAGGGGAGAAGGGGAGGGAGAGGAGAACATGAGGGATCACGAAGGTCAAGTTGGGGGAAGGACAGAAAAGGAAAGTAAGGAGAGGGATACCTTGATAGAGGGAGCCATTAACTAGGCACTAGGGAAATTTCCAGGAGTCCACAAGGATGATCCAACTAAGAATCTAAGCAATAGTGGAGAGGTTACCTTAAATGCCCTTCCCCTATGAGATTGATGACTACCTAGAGCCTTCATCCAGTAGCTGATGAGAGCAGGAGCAGAGATCCACAGCTAAGCACTGGGCTGAACTCCTGGAGTCCAGTTGTAGAGGGGCGAGTGATGAGCAAAGGTGTCAAGACCATATTGGGAATCCTGAGCAAGTGGGATCTCACTGACTCCAGACTGACAGCTGGACCAAACTAGGCCCCCTGAATGTGGGTGTCAGCTGGGGGCTTGGGGAATCTATGGGGCTGCTGGCCCTGGAACCAATATTTATACCTAATGTATGAACTGGCTTTTTTGGAACCCATTCCCTATGGAGGGGTAGCTTGCTCAGCCTATATAGATCAGGGAGGGCCTAGACTCTGACCCAAATGATGTGACAGGCTTTGATGATTCTCCATAGGAGGTCTCACTCCCTGTGAGGAGAGAATTGAGGGGGGTGCAATGGGGAGATGGTAGGGGGATGGCAGGACAGGAGGAAGAGGGAACTGGGATTGGTATGTAAAATAAGATTGTTTCAATAATAATAATAATAATAATAATAATAATAATAATAGACAACAACCTTTCTTTCTTAAATTGCTTTTGTGGGGTATTTTGTTAGATCACAAGATTGGTAACTAATGCAGAGGCCTTGTGGGAACTAATTAGCTTGTTAGAGGCATGATTCTCAAGAAGACCAATGTGGCTCTCACAGGAACTCAATTTTGTAAAAACCGGCTGTTATAAAAAGAGAAAAGCAGGTCACTGCATTTCTCTGGCTCCCTGCATGACCACAATATGTCTTAGTTATGCCATGTCTCATGTAGCCAGAAGGCCCTTTCTAAAGATGGTCAGATACCTGCCCCATACTCTTCAATTTATATTTTCTTTTCTTTGTTTTTTTTTTTAAAGATTTATTTATTTATTGGATACACAGTGTTCTGCCTGAATGTATACCTGCATGCCAGAAGGGGGCACCAGATCTCATTATAGATGGTCATGAGCCATCATGTGGTTGCTGGGAATTGAACTCAGGACCTCTAGAAGAGCAAACACTGCTCTTAAGCTCTGAACTACCTCTTTAGCCCCATACTCTTCAATTTCTAAAAATTACCAGTCAAATAAACCTCTTTTCTTTTTAAAGTTCAAGAAAGTTCCAGAAAAAAACAAACAAACAAACAAACAAACAAAAAAAAAACCCACACAAGACATGCCAACTTCTATTTTGCTTATGTATTCATTTTAACAGTGCCTTTTAGGTATTGACAATTCACACGTGTAAACAATGTACCTTGTTCACATCCACTTCCAACTCCCCCTTATTCTCCCTAGGCACCTCTAACATGTCCCCCTTCCCCCTTCATGCCTTCTCATCCTCCCCTCCTCTTCCCTCTGTAACCCACTGAGTTCAAGTGATGCTGCCTGTTGTAATGTTGACTGATCTCGTTGGTTTCGTCCTATGCATGTCTGTGCAGGTAACAACACCTACAATGACTTCATGAGTTGCAGTGGCCACATCAAAGTCAGCATTTCATAGCTCTCCTCCTCATCCTTCAGCTTTTAGTCTTTCCACCCTCTCTTCCGTGA